GTGTCTCCTTGAAGAGAGAGAGAGAAAGTGAGAGGAAAAGGACAAGTAATCTGGACTTGAGTTCGGGTTCCAGACCTTTCAAAACCTCTCTTGATGGCTTGGTGCTTGAATAAAATTGAATACCCTTGATTTTCTAACAACCTGCAACTGGAGGAGCAGGAAGTGCTTGCTTCCTCCTTCCTGTACTGATGACAGCCACATGTTCATCCTGGCGGAGTTGTGCCTTGGCCTGGCTGTACTCACTTGCCTTGTCCTGCTGCTGCTAGTGCAGAAACAGCACAGAATGCCAAATGCACTCACTGATAACTTACCTTTTTCTCCATGTTTTCATCTGCCTGGGCTGGGAGTGCAATAGAGAAAGTTTTTGCCCTGGATGAACATTGCAGTTGAGACTGTTTGCATCAGGCCTGCCCAAGCTCTGGCAGTAAAGGCCAGTCCACTTCCAAGTAACTGTATGTTGTTTTCTAAGCAAAAGTAATTGTTCAATTGCTTTCTTGTCTAACAGTTTTATTAAAAGTCAATTGTTTTTTTAAAGAAAGGAAAAGACAAGAAAAACATAGGGATCATGCCTCCAGTTTGGGTTGCTTTCCTCCAAGTCCCCAGCAGAGGAGAGAGACTGGGCTCCTCTTACTAGCCCAGAACTCCCAGAGGTTAGCTCTGGAGCAGCCTGCCAGGAGAAGGTAGAGCCTTGCTGTTGGCAGATGATGATGCCCTCATCGGAAGTAAGAAACAAGAAATACTTTCCAAAGAGAGTTTGGCACTGTGGCAGCCTTGGAATCAGTTAGGAAAAGGACAAGGTCTTCGGCTGGTGTCTCCTTGGTGTGCAAATTTAGCCCATTGGAAGCATCCCAGCTCATATTCAGAGATGGTTCTGTCCCCAGAAAACTCTTTGTTATGATATCACTATTGGCTTCAGTCTAGAAGTTACTGTACAACTTAAATGTCAGTATTCAAAACTTGAATTGCACAGGATTTGTTCAGCCAGAAGTAGAAAAGAAATTTAGTTTGGGCTCCTGGCAAGACATGCTTCCAAATTTATCAAACTGACATTCAAACCAAAGAAGTAAAAATACAGCTAAAATATCAGGTGCCATTGAATGCCTGGAGAAACCATGACAGGAGTGTTGCTTTTCTTTCCCTCCTATAATCACATTTATCTACAATTCTGAACAAACATCTGCATGAAGTATTTAGTGGTTCTTTCTTTTTTTTTCCCTTGGATCTGATTTTGTGTCTTAAACAAGCCAATGGCTCAGCCAGCTTGGACAGGGTGTTTGTGGCTGTGTGAAAACCCTTTGATGCTCACAGTATCTGGGACATCCAAGTGGAGGCTGCAAAGCCTTGGTAGGCACCCCAGGTGTGGAAGTGTGGCCAAACAGAAAAGGTTGCAGCTTCCAACTTCTAACTGCTCGCCTTGTCCAGTAAAATAATTTCACAGCTTCAGTCTTTCTTGACTCTTAATATGGGGCAGTAACTCAATTCCTGCAAATAGTAGGACTTGCTCAGGAGAGATATGCCAAAGTGCTCTTTCTTTTCCAAATTCACATCATGTAGCCCAACAAAATGCAGAAATTATTCATGCTTTTACCATCCCTCATGTTAGAGTATTTTTTTAAGCAGCTATTGATGCCTTAGCTGAAAATACTGTTTTTCAGAAGCCTTTTTCCCTCTGAATGGAATCATCTACCTTTCTTTTTCACTGTTTCTAGCCTCTTCTACCTAATGTTTTTAAATGCTAGATGTTGGCTTCATCTTTAGTGTCATGGTGTTGGGATCTGCTCTGTAGATGTTTCCTGTTCCAGCTTGTATTGCTGCCGCTCTGCCTAGCACTTGTAAAGCTCTGTCAGGTGGGCAGGTGTTTCTGTATGTAGCTCTGCAGGAGAGGTCTGTCCTTCATCCCAGCTGCTGAAAGGATTTGTCCTGAGTCATGCTTTTCTCCTCATGAAAATTTGAGATGTCAAAGGAAGAATATTTCTGATATCTCATGTCATCTTCTCCTGTACCCCCTTGGCAAGGAACGGTCTTTGAGAATGCCAGGTTAGAGGATATAGACTGTTACCTACGTGTCCTCTCCTATCTATTACCTGAAGATGGAGCCCTGTTTACAGACAAACTTCACAAGTGACCTCTTGTGGGAGAAATGCAGGGGAAGCAATGATACAACAGAACAACAACAATTCAGAGGGCGGAAGAAATGAACAAAACTCACGAAGTAACGAGATGGTTGGAGCAGGGCAGTGTTTCAGATTGAGGGGTTTTTCCTTATGAAAAATGAAAGTTTGTTTGGCTTTGGGTCATTGCCACAAGCCAAAGGAGAAGGGAAGGGGAATTATTTTAATTTTTTTAAAAGCATTTTTGAGATTTTGAGAAAGAAGCTTCTGATCATCTTCAAGGTCCTAAAAAAATGAATAGGAAAGGGGAGGCAAATGTAGCCCATGTTATTTAAGGCAGAAATTTATGCTGGTCCTGCTGCAAAATAAGCATTTTATCAAAGAATGATAGTCCTGATAAAGGAAGGAGCATTGGAATATATAAATAATCCTGTATTTTGTCCTCAAATTAGTGCCCATGTTGTCAAAGTGGGAGCCATGGTTTATGCCTATAAGGCATGAAATACTCTACATAAGGCATACTCTGTTTGCCTCCTTCTTTCTCTTCTGCTGCAGAAGATATCCTCTTGCAGGTTGAAACATCCCACACTTAGCTACTGCCAAAAGTGAAATTTTAGTTTTGATGAAAAGATTAAGGTTTTTTAAGCATGAGAAAAGTAAAAATAAACATTTCCTTTCTATTAAAGCTGCTACAATAAAATGAGGTGTGTGGTTTTGAATGCCTGTACAGCTAAAACAACTAAATTACAAAGACTGAAGATTAGCTGTGATTGCAGAGTGGTGCTTATCTTTATCTTTGATGGACTTGGTTTGGATTTCTCTACTTTTGTTCAGAGTTCAGGGTGAACTGGAATAGCAACGTTCTGCACGTGGCACTTCACCTCAAACTAGTCACCTTACCACACAGGAACTTGAGATAACAAGAATTGCCTTTGCACAAGGCAAATAGGAAGGAAAATGCAAAAATGCAGATTTGTTACCATTATGATTAGGTTTTTTTGCCAGCTTTAGCTAAATAAATACATGGAGAATTTCTCTGGTTCAGTGTGTCATTTTGAAGAGGAAGCGAGAGAAGAACAGGATAAAACATCAGTCCCAGTAGGTCCATCAATTTACTGGATGGCTGATGCACTTCAGGTTGTGGAGAAACAGTTTGCAGGAGAGTTGCAACTTTGAGCTTACAAATGAGTGACTTCCAGCAGGGGTGTGTGGCATCCCTATAAGCATCAGCCTTGGTTTTGAGCTCTGGTTTTGGACTTGAGATGCTGCCAGCTGTGCTGATGCTTTCACTGGAAGAGAAGAAGCAAGATCTCATAACATATAGTTGATAGTGGAGGTTGTTCCTGCAAAAATTAATAGCCTGGTGTTGCCTGATCTATGAGGCTGTGAATAAATCATCCAGCTTTCCATGCTCTGCAGTAGAAGCAATGAGACATTTGGATGCTAGTGTACATATCCAGTAAGGAAACTGTAAGTACTTTTCTGCCTGCTGTCACTGGTAAAAACAGAGCCTGTAGCATTTCTGCTGCCCTGATTCAGTACTGCTGCCTGGAAACCTGAAGGAGAAGAGACAGTCTAAGCAACGTCAGCCTGGATCTGGGATTGTCCTGGCTCCAGGAGTTCTGCAGAACATGACACAATTACCCACAGGGAGACCTGGGTTACTGTTAACAGGAGCATAAATGTGTCGGCAGAAGAGGGGATTGCTAGGCAACTCTGTGTGCCTTCTGCTTAGCTGTGGAGTATTTCATCTCCCTTTCTTGCTAGTTCTTGCCTTTCTCTGTTATTACCATTTGTATTTGTTGCCTGTTGCAACATGATGCCACGAAACAAATGGGAAACTGAGATCTTCCCCTGCAGAGTTTATGTTCTGCTGCACAGGAGAGGTGGGGCATGACCTAAAATGTACCCTGTAGGAGGTGATCAACATGCATAGTAAAGATCTCATTGTCGTGCTGGGATCTTGTTGTAGTTTTGTATTTTGGCTTTGTTGCTGCTGGTGATGCTCTGCTGTTGTCAGCTAAGAAGGTTAGGACTTGATTTTATAAACACACATAATTCAGGAAGCAACCATGTTTATGAAAGAGTAAAGGTAACTGCTGGAAAAGATACCTTGGAAGTATTGCTTTTGTACTTGCAGGGTTTCTCACTTGTAAATCACCCTTCTGAAGTAGGATGTAGTCAGTCTCGTGTAGCAGTTTTTTGTTCATTTTTCCAGCTAACATGTGAAATACTGCTACCTTGCTTTGCATGGAGAGCAGCACAGATGTTCCTGCACTGCTGACTGAGCAGCCTCCAGAGAAGGATCCTTCAATCAGTGCAAGCACAGAACAGGATGGCAGGGTACCTGTGACCCTGGCCTGCTGCTGCTAGGTAGATGTGGGGTTGGTCAGCCCGGCCAATGTCTCTAAATCCTATTAGAATCTATGCCTGGTATAATGTTCCAGGCTTTCAGCTGCATGGAATTTGGTAGCTATATTTTCCTTACACATTGTACTTATATAAACTCTATCAGTCTTGCTTTCAGGCTGATGAAAGTTGAATTTCAGGGGTACTTATATTTGAATATAGGTGATTTTCTTATGCCTGCTCGTCCAGGATACAAGTAGATTGATCTCAATGTCATCAGGTGAAGCTTGTGGGAGAACACAAAAATCAGAGCCTGAAAATCCTTCAAACAATTGAAACTGAAGCAGAGAACAGACTTGCTTTTCTTTCTGTTAATGCTTTGAATGACATTAATACAGTGACAAAAGTCATCATGTTTTTACATTAGATATGATGTGAACATCATCCATGAAATGTAGCAACAGCCAGAAACTTACCCACCTGAGCTAAAGTGTCCCTTATATATGTGGTATGTTTTGCTGTGGCTGTTTTGTTTTCCAGTGTATTTGAAAAGGATCCCAATGGTGTTGATTCCACTGCAAGTTCCAGCCACCGGACCAGAAATCTTCTGGAGTTCTCAACTAGCCAGGATTCCAGCACAGTTCAGAAAACACCCAGTGCCATCATTCCCGAAAAGAATAATAGGTGAGATTAAAATCTTTAACATGTTTTCCATGGCAGAGGCTAATGGTGCTTTTAGACCTCACTGCCCTTCCATTTGCTAACCTTTTTGGCCAGCGTTACTGCTGCTTTTGTAGAGCAACTGAGCTTACAGACACAGTGTTTTGCAAGCTGATCTCTTTTTAAAAAAATATTATTATTGTTTAACAGAGTTTGCCAAGTGCTTTTCAAAAGAATATGATGTTTTATCTCCAAAGTGACCCAATACCTAGAGCTTCAGAAGTGCATGTGACTGGTTTTGCTGTAGGGTGTTAGGGAGAGTGTGGTGAAAGGAAGCATATAAACAAGTGTATGTCATAGAGTTTTTCATCACCTTCTTCAAATTTTCACGTTTTATTATTTTTTCCATTATCTTGATTTTAGCTTGCATAGTTGTGATATTTGTCATATTATCTCTCCTTACTTTTCAAGCCAGAGTATTTATTTTTCTTAATTGCTCAAGAGAAGACCAGGGAAGTTCACAATTAAGAACATAATCTGACCATAGCACTGTGCTTTTTTAGAAATCTCTGAGTCCATCCTTCTGTTTATCCACTATTTAATTATCTAGTTGCTTTCAAGCTTCCTAGATCTCTAGCATTCAGTGCATAAATGAACATATAATTGTCTCCAGATTGAAGTCTGGTTAATCCAGTTCAGGTTTTCCCCTTACAAGATTTATTCTATCAGATTGTTCCTTTCCAGTAGAGTGTTTTGGCTGGTTGAACAAAGCCAGGCACAGATGTGCAGAAAGCCCTAATGTATTTTGCCATGCAGAAAGCAGGTAATAAATCAAGAACATTTTAAGTCTGTATCCAAGGTGAGGGCTTTGTGTCCTGTGTGGCATGTTTCAGACCGTGACTTATGCAACATGGTAGTAGAGTGGTTCTCTGAGGAGGATGTGTCTGTCCCTCCTCCTTTTCTTTTACTCTTTCACCCGGGTTTTTGGCAAGCAGTGAGCTCTTTGCTGCATATTCTCCTTTATCAGTTCTAGATGCAGTAAACAGAAGCAGCAGACGTTAAGATGGAGAGAAAGCTGGGAATGGGAGAGCAATGTGAATAAGGCTTTCATAAGCTCTTAGAGCTCATTTTTCAGAAAGAAGTTCAGGTTTAGGAACTACGAGTTTCTGTGAAAACCAAGAGGACTAAGGTTGTTACACTGATGCCCTATCAAGACAGGAACTTTTAATAGGTGTTTGGTGATAAGTACACAACCCATCAGGAGGTACAGATAATGAGGAAAGAGGAATATTAGTCTTTGCTTTGTTGCTGAGTATGCTGTGCATTTTTGTATTGAAATACCTGCTCTTTTTTTGCTTCTTATTAAGCTAACTTCTGAAGACTGTTGGGAGTTGTAAATCCTCTTCTCACCACTTAGTTGTAATATAGTTTGTAGCTACTCCATTGTCATACAGTTGATGGTCTTCATATCTGCATGATTTTCGTTGCTAGTAAATTTAGTGTTTCTGTAGCAAATTTTGCACACCTCTGGAATGAAAGAGAAAGTTGCCTCTGCAGAGGTCTCATAGTTTACATATTATGGAGAATATTCTATGGACTTCATTTTCTTTCAGTATCTGGCCTATCTGGGAAGAGATCCAACATCTGCTAACGCTCAGCTCTCTGTTAAGTGCTACCAGACCCCTTTGGGGAACTGACTAAGACCATTTCATAGAACTTGCTCTTCACCTGTTTCAGTGGTCCCATAGGAGCAGCTCCAACCTTTGTGGGTCTGCTGATGGTAGTGCTTATTCTCTGGATTTGGCCAAAGGTTCATGAGAAACTATTTTAAGGGATTTCTTAATATCTTTTTCTTTGGTTTGTTTTTTTTTTTCTTTTTTTCCCCCCACAGGTATGATCGTTCTGTATCTGATAACAAAGCACTGATGATAGTCTCAGAAGAACCACTGTTATACATTTCACCACCACCACCCCCCTGTCAGCCCCTGATCAACCGGACAGAGTCACTCAGGTGAGCAAACTACCTTTTCTGAGTATTTAAGCTGTCTTTAGGAGTTTAGACATAAACTTTGTGTTGTCTGAGTACTGCTGGACAGTCAGCTCTGAGTGATGATACTGTCCATTCATTGTATTCATCCAGCATGTGAGCAATGCCTCTGTGTCTGCACTCTCCAGTGTCTACTACCATGGAGGCAAGAGACTGACTTTGATCCTTGTCATCTTTTGACGCTTTTAGTAGTGATTGTTACTCAGTTATCACACTGGTCACTTAGCAATAACCAAATAGCAATTTTCTGATTGCCTGGAGGTTTTTGATGACTGGAAAGAGGAATCACTTTATATGTGGAAGTGCTCATAATATGTAAATCAAGTCCAGCTAAAAGCCTTTTCCATCTGAAGTACATAAAAGGTGGTCTTCTACTCCCAGCTTCCAGCTTTCTGTACAAGCAGACTTCACCTGACATAGCAGATGTGCATTATTCACTGTTAATAAACACCTAGCTCCACTTTTTCCAAGAATATGAGTGCATCACCAACCTCATCACCATTTTGCTTTGTCCATTTTTTCTCTCAAATTTATTTGCTGAATTTCAGCCTTCTTAACCAATATTTTGTCTTGAACTGATCAACTTTTGATTTTAAATTTCAGTAGTCCTTCCAGTAATTTCAGAATTACTGTTCATTGGGCAAAAGAAAGCACTGTATCTGCTTTATATTGAAACTTCCACAATCCTATTAATTCACATGTGTTTTCTTGTGAATTCCCTCATAGATTTAATGTTGCAAGCATGTTTTCTTACTCTGGTATTAAAAATAAGGTTATTATAATGTAGAAGTAGTGAACTGAAATGTCTTTAGAACTGTCTTCTAAAATAAATATTTCTGTCACTGTTCTTTGAAACATCTTTTAATGCTGTGGGTTCTTCTAGGCTGAATCATGAGCTTCGAGGTTGGGTTCATAGACATGAAGTGGAACAAACAAGATCTAGAAGGCTGTCAAATAACCAACAGCAGAAAGCACGGGTTATGCAGGTAGGCAGTTTTATGCTGGTAAATCAACAGGATGACAAGATAATTTCAGACAACATAACGAAATATTCTCTCTTACTTGTCTGTGCTTGTCATTATAGACAAAAGTAGCAATGGTGCCTGTAATTAGGGTGCCCAACACTTCCCATTTTGAATTGCTGGCTTTGGTTGATAATTATGTTGTCAAAGTTCTTCAAGTCCTGCTCTTGAATTCAGGCTAAAGGTTTTTAGGTTTTTTAGCAGTCATCAGAATATGTTCAGTGCTTTTTAAAATTGCTTTTATGACTTCTCTGTAGGCCTGTGTAAGGATAAACCCTTGGTTAATGGAGAGAAATGTAATCTACAGCACATTCATCTGGCTCATGGTTAAGAGGCACAGCTGATTGGTTTTGTTGAGATTTTTCTGTTTCTTTTTTTCAGATTTTGCTAGAGGGATACTTTTTTGGCAAGACTACAGAATTATGAGATTTGTGCTCATATTTCCCATTTTTAAAAGTCCCTTTCATCTCCATGGCATACCAACAGTGAGGATGAAATTAAGACCACGAATTTTCAGTGTGTTCCACTTGATTAAGAGCTAGTAACAGCCTTAAAAGGAGTTGAACTTAACAATGTTCACACTTGTGTAAAGAAAAATTATTGAATATGAAACTTCAGGTTCTTCTCACTGGTGTCCAAAGGAGAATGGTAGAACATCTAAGCAGAGCAAGTTCAGGTGCTTCTAGTGTTTCAAACGCCAGAAGTGTGTTGTGGGTAGTAAATGTTCATAGTGCTACAGAGTGGGTGTCTCCTCAGAAGAATTTTGGAGACCTGACATCATTGATAGCAAATTTTGCACTTGGATGGCACAATGTGTGCAACTACTGTATATGGTGCCAGGCTCCCTTCTTTGTCTCTGGATGTGTGGCTGCAACTTTTGCCATATTGAAACGCTTTCCATGTGTCCAGCTTGATTGCTGGGCCATTTCAGTTATGCATGTTTCACCAGTGGGAAAATGTACATTTATTGCTCAGGGCACTGATTCACCTCTGCACCCCCTTCTATATTCATGCTCTTATACAGATGTGCCTGGTGTTTTCTGTAGTGCCAAACCAAGGAAATGTTTATTGTTTTCACTTTTTGTCTTCTTTTGTTTTCCCCCTTTTCAGAGCTCCCTCAGTGAGAAGACAGATTCCCAGCTAATGGCCATGCCTTACGCAGACACCAGCCTCAGGTAAGGCAGAAAAACTGCTTTTTCATTGCTTTCTACTTCATCTAATTTTTCACCAACAGTGGGTAGAAAGTGCCAGTTTTCACCTTGTTGTCAGGATTCTTAAGCCAGATGCTAACTACATATATGGGCCTAATTTCTGTCTCTTAGCAAGTAACTGCTTCTGTTCATTAAAACTACATTTAAAGAAACCCCTGTATTACAGCTCCACTCTTCTGGGGCCTTTGTACCCATTAATCTTAAGAAAACCTTTATTTCACTCTCCAGAATCCCTTCCTAAACAGATTTGAATCTTTAGGGAATAAAAAAGGGCGTTGTCAGGAGGAACATCAGTAATTCATAAGATGGTATCAAAGAGTCTGGTAAGAGAACGGTTTATCTCACTGTCCTCAAGAGTAGAGCCATTATAGCTATTACCAAATTATTTCAACAGATTTGAAGTACATTACATCTTACTTGCATGGTTTGTTTTAATCTCCTGATTTTCCCTGATGATTAGAAGATCATAACACAGAGTTTCTTGATGCCCTCTCTCCCCCTTCCCATATACCCAGCTCTTCCCTCAGAACAGGAAGAACTGGAGGGAAAAGCTTAAGGAAACAAAAATTCTCTCTTCTGAATTCTATGTGACAGTAGGTAAAAGGTTCTCTGCCTCAAAGTGACTAAGAGGAGTAAGCAGAATGGAGTATGAAGCGATTTTTTGAGAATACCTGAAATACTGACATTGAAGTAAGAAAGCTGTGGCCCTCCTGTTTACATTGTCCAGGATCAGCCTGGGAGAAAATAATAAACTGCAAGCAAATGTTATGGAAATCAGGCTGCCAAATTTTGGTGTCTTAACTAATTAAAAAAAAAAAAGGCATTTTTTTTAGTTTTGCAGGCAGATGAAGCATGTTTGTTTTAACTGAAGACTGGGTGAACAAGCCTCATGCATAAGGCAGTTTAATATACATGCCTGTATTGCTCTTAACAAAATATCTGGGGCATTAGAAACAGTCTGCAACATCATGCAGCTCTGTATGGAATAATCTGATGTGCTCAGAAGGAAGTAAGATATTTTTTTCAGATGAATGATGTTCAAATGAACGGGAGCAGTGAGTCATGGCAGCTGCATCTTCTGACGGTCCTGGAACTGCTAAGAACATAGAACAGACTTGCAGTTCCTCCCAGAGCCATCAGCTATTAGATGCTCTGTGAAATCATAGAATCACAGGGTAGTTTAGGTTGTAAAGGACCTCTGGAGATCTCTAGTCCAACCTCCTACTCTAAGCAGGTTTAACTTAAAGTTTCTTGGTGTCTCTGTCAGAAAAGACTGTCTCTGTCTCCTTTGGTAATCTGTATTAGGAAGCTGAGGATTGCAATGAGAGCCCCCTCAGCCTCCTCTTTTCCATGCTGAACAAGCTCTGTTCCTTCTGTCTCCTGTCTCTTCATGACCATCCTGTCCTCCAGGCCCTGGCAGTAGTGCAACCCAGCATACAGTTGCCCCCAGAATGCTCTACTGGCTCCCATTCAGCTTGCCTGCCATCATCCTAGGTTCTTGCTGCACAGCTTGTGCCTCATTGATTGGGAAGACAGAAAAGGTGCTTAATACTGGGTTTTGTCATTAATGCTACTACCTCTGAGGTGTTGACAGGCTGAGGGAGTTGGGGTTGTTCATCCTGAAAAGAGAAGGATCCAAGGGGACCTCATAGTGGCCTTCCAGTACCTGAAGGGGGCCTAAAGGAAAGCTGGGGAGGATCTTTTTACAGGAGCTTGCCATGAGAGGACAAAGGGAATGGTTTTAAGCTGAAAGAAGAGAGATTTAGGTTAGAGATCAGGTGTAAATTCTTCAGTGTAAGGGTGGTGAGACACTGGAACAGGCTGCCCAGAGATGTTGTGGGGGCTCCATCCCTGGAGCTGTTCAAGGGCAGGGCTCCAGATATCAAACTGGGATTCTCCAATTATTTTCATGTCTAAATTTTCACTGGTAAAATTGTATTTCTTGGTGCATAAGCCCCGAGTCCACAACCTCATTCCTTAAGACAAGCATATATGGAATGTCCTAATGCTTTGTGGTACATATTGGAGTGCCCTTCAAACTTTTAATGTACCCTATTTAATGCTGTCTTGTAACACAGTATCAGGTTACTGAAACCTGTAAGTATTGCCTGAAAACTGTAGCTTTGCACCCATTTTCAGACCTTAAGTTCCTCCCTTCCACTCATAGAGAGGAGTCCATAATGGGTACTCTTAAATGCCCAGAGAGAAGTATGGTGTAGCAATAGAATTACTGGTATGACTTGGAACTTGGGACTGGTGATAGACTTGTTCCATGAACCCAGGAGAGCTCTGTGAAGGCCCAGTGGTTTCCAGGTGCCTTGGAACAATTGTCTCCCGTGGCTGGATTTAGAATTATAAAAGGCTGTTTTTTAGGTCTCGCTGTGTCTTCTTGAGTGTGGGCGAGGAAATGGATCTGTGGGACCTGTTTCAGTTTTCAGGATGTTTCACTGAGCAATGTGTGGGCGTGATGCCTTTTATCACAGTGAGACTTCAGTGCTGAATCTCAGGGGTGGTTTGGTGGGCCTACGTGTTTTATGAATGAGTAATCAAGCTCAAATTAGCTCCACTCTCTGTTTCCTGTGTGTGAAGGATGTGATCTGATTCCTCACTTGCATAGTTCTGCTAAAGAGGATATATATGTAGGGTAGAGCTGCCTGCTTTTGATCTCCCAGGATTTACACCCCCAGTCTTGTTAAAGGGCAAGTGGTTTGGCATCTTCAATTGCAACGGGACTATATTAGCACTAGCAGAGGGGGTAATTGTGGTCTATTATTAGTGCTGCTCAAGAAAATTGCCTAATGATAGATTTGTGCCTTGTTTTGGATGCACAGTTATGTACATTATAGATAATGTAAGTTGGCCACCACAGTTTAAAATGTGGGTGAGCTGGGGCCATTGGGAGGAATAGCCTGATCAGTGTTTTTGCCATGAATACTGCAAACAGGCAGGATGCTATTAACATGGGATAGAGTAAAGGTCCAGCTAATGGTTTGTGTAAGTGCAACTTCCCAATTTGATTAAATGTTATTTTTTAATGGAATTGGGGTAGTAATAGCAACACATGCTGGGCATTTCTCACCTTTCAAAGATAAACAGTGGATAAGTACCATGATTGTTTGACTTGCAAGTGTTATTGCTTTGACTAGTTTAGACAAGAGCATCTTTTCCTCATATCTGATATATATAAGAAAAAAATTGTGAAAAGGTAAGCAGAAACTATGTTAATATCTGGTTTTGCTCCACTGTCTAAATTTGAAAATCAAGAGCAAATCTTTGAGTTGACCAAAGAGATTAAAAAATAAAAAAAGTGGGTTAGAGTGAAGGTGGTGTTGCCACTTGACAGTAAATGAGAAGCTTTATGCTGAACTTTGCAACTCTTTCAATTTAAGTGGTTTGGATCCTTAGCAGTAAAAAGAAACAGAAAAATTATTAAAAGTTTCAATTTTTTTGTTTCAGAATTGCAAATCATTTTAGAATTTGCTAAAATCTATTTTCAGAAGTCATCATGCCAGCTTCTGAAACATGAATAAAATCAAACTTGGAAATGTTCCCAGCAGCAAGCCCTTTAAAGCACCTTGAACTTAAAAATATACCCAGTAGTTACACTTGTCTTCACCTGTGTTTAATGTTCCTCATGCCTCCCTCAATGCATGAAGAGCTGCTGTTCTTTTGAAAAGCAGATCTTTAAAGTCATTGTCTCACTGAAGTTAACTTTACTGTCTAAAATAATCACCTTCTCCCTTTCTGTATTTCAGCAAGAACTCAGGGAATGAGCTGCAGGTGTATTATGCCTCTCCAAGGAGCTATCAAGACTTTTTTGAAGCTATTCACAGACGGGAGGACACATTCTACGTGGTGTCATTTCGCAGAGTAAGTCATGTACTTGTTCTACACTGGCTTTTAGGTGTAGCCATAAGGCTGTTTCTAACACTGAGTGTCTTCTGTTGTAATACAAAAGGTGGCCTATTTGAGGTTGAAGCTAAATTTGTTTCTTCATAAGTGATGCTTCTGTCTATTCTTTACAGTAAATACGGCCAGGGCATGGTCTGTGCACAATATGCCCATCACAGTGAGGGATGGAAAGAGCTCTGCAGAAAACATTGTAGTGCTAGGGCAAGACAGCACAAAATTACATGAACCCTGTGGTTAAACCCTTAAGCATAGTCCAATAATCAGAATATTTAAGTGGATATTTATTTAATAGCTGTATAAACCTCTTTTCCTTCTGGCTGTAGGAATAAATGTACCCTGTACACAAATAATTTATGCTAGCTTAACATAATACCATTTCTGTCTTCCCCTAAAAACCCTTGCATTTGCAGTTTTGTTTGTCACATGTTGCAGCTGTACAGGACTGTGTGGCACATTTTTCTGCTGTTTTGTGACTTGTAAGTCTAGACAGATGAGCAATTCTGCTGTGGATGCTGGGATACAGCACAGACTTGTGCTGCAGCTTTGGAAGGCACATCCTCACTTCTGCAGCTCAGTTAATGACAGTAAAAGCTGTTACAAAATTGAATTCCAGGTCTTTGATGGCACTTTCTGTACTGCAAGCCAGAATGGTGTTGAAGCCAGTACAGCTGCAGGAGTGAGAAGCTGCTTGGGATCTGGTGGTGGAAATCATCAAAGCAAACAGTGGCTGAAATGCCAACTGGAGATTGGGAGAGTTTATTCCCTCCCTTTTGCAGAGGTTTTGATGAGTCCTTTAGATATGTCTATAATCATATTTGGCCCTGGGGTCTTCACTTGCTGAGCCTCCTGCCTTGCTGGTTGCAGTTGTGATATTAGATTATCCTGTGCTTGCTCATTCCTAGCCACAGTTTTCCTTGGACTCTGCAACCCTCCATTTGTTTCCTCATCAGATGAGTATCCTGACAGGGGTCCCAAGGTGGTGGGAGATCAGTAGTTGCCACTACAGCAGCTCATCCAGCTACAGCCAGTTCTGTGTCACAGCACAAAAATGAGCATAACTAAGTTTCTGTGTTGTCGCAATGCCAGATGTACAGAGGTAACGCATCCCTGTCTGACCTCATCTACAGGAACTTTCTTCAGTTGTGAGACACATGTCTTTAGAAGAGGTTCAGGCAGATTAAAAATAGTGGTGCTCTTGTTAGGATTAGGGTTTTATGCTGAGCAGAAATATGAGGTTAGTTTCCAGTCCTGGGATTGCTGGATTGTGTCACAAGGCTGGAATTTTGTTATTAAATGCTTGGCATGTTCTGCTGTTCTTGCAGCTAGCAACACAAATAGAGCCAGCACCAGGGTCCACATATCCTGAAGATGAGTAGAAGGGAGTAGAGAATTGATTGTAAATGTTTTTCTGGAAACTCAAGAGTAAAAAGCAGAATAGTGTTTCTGTTGTTCTTCACTTGCAGCTGTTGCTCTAGTCCATCCGAATACAGGTAATGGTCCACAGGTTTGGTTTACACTGTCAGATTAATGACCTGGAAGTTGTCAGCTCTCTTTCTCATCTTGCAGCTTTCCAAGCTGTCCTTGGAAACAGAGTGTGTCTTGTGCCACAGAATCCCTACTGCTTGGCTCTGCTCTTTTGCAGAGAGAGGTGCGGAGCCTTTTTTTAACCATTTATAAAGTTTATTTGGTAGCAAAGCTGTTGGTATTTCTGTTTTATGAATGAAATGTCCTCAAATCGAAGGCAGTTTTATGCATTACCTCATTTATTATTTTAACAGGGCAAACCTGATCTAGTGACAAGCTCTGCCCTGAGGCACTTTTAAATTACTTGCTTGGATTCTTTTGTGAGTACAGAAGGACTCCTGCACAGCCCAAGGGGTGCCATCAGAAGGGCCCCAGCCAAGGAGGTGCCCTTTCACCTCCTCCTGAGGACTGCTGACCTCATTTTCTTTGGACCACAATTCCCTTTTCACTGATTATTAGGAGCTGAGAGAAAGGACTGATTTCCTTCTCAGCACTGTGGGACAATTCACTTGCTTATTGCTTGCTCACTTGTCCAAGTTAGAAGACAAGGCCTGGAGTTGTGTTCTTCTGTCTGGCTGTTTTCCATGCAGACACTCCCAAGCACTTAATAAGCTGTTAACAATCACATACAAATGAGCAGGAATCATCCAGTTAAGAGTCCCAGGGAGTGGATGGTTTGGGTATTAGTGATGGTTCTGCTGTGGAAGATAGGACTATGAAACTTAAGAATTCCCTTCTACCTGATGTCTTCAGGATCCTTTCCACACGCTTGCTGCTCTGGGTGCAGTGTCACATAACCCCAAGTGTCTCCTGGGTACACGGCCTGAAATGTAATACAATTTTTGTGTGTTTTCTGCATGTTCTCCCCTGCACTACAGGAGTTGTGCCATGAGTTCCTTGGATTTTCTAGAAAATGGCATTTGCTAGAGCTGCCCATGCCTCTCATAGTCATCCAGGGCTTCTGAAGGTGCAAGGCAGGGGAGCAAAGCTCAAATGTGCTGTGTCATCTACTGGTGTTGCTTAGTACCTGTAAGACTGAATTTCTCATGATCTCTTCAACTTTATGCCAAGGAAGGTTTCTCTGTTTGCATATTCATATGGAGTTTGATTATTTTTTTTCTTTTCTGAGGAGGAGAGAGGGAAATGAAGTAGTATTTGGATCAGCTGAGTCCATACAAGAAGCTGGGCTTTCACTCTGCCAGCCTAGAAAGAATAATTTTCTGCTATTGTGAGGGGGAATTTGTAATGTCATTTTTAAACAAGAAGTAACTGACACTGAGTAAAGAATTCTTGAACTGGGGCAGTTGTCTGCCAGCTCTGCCAGGCCTCATCAGCCAACATCCCTCATGGGCAGGGATCATCACCATTTATTTCTGGAGATGTTAATTTGTTAATTTTATGTTTTCTTGCTTCTTAACTTTTAGGAAGCCATTGTTTTCTGTGGTCACTTAGCACTGCAGAAACTGACACTGGGCAATGAAACAAAAACATGTTCTCTGTAGTATATATTCTACGCTTGAGCTCTCTGCTGTCCCCACATGCTCCAGCACTCTGAAGCTATGTCTTTGCAGCCTGCCTCTAAGTTGGGCTGTTTTGGGTTGGTTTTGGGAGCATGTTCAGAGCTGAGTAGTCTGTGCAGTGACTACCAACAGCAAGGTGCTGTGTGTCTTTGAATAAGAATACAGCAGTTTGAGCTCTGCTGAAATGTGTTGGGAGTCTCCAGCTGGCACTGAACCTTCCTTACATTTTTCCCAGGTCTGAGGGACAGAACTGAGAGTCTGTTGCTCTGCCCCTTGACGTTTCTGCTACCAATTTCTGCTTGATCTGTTCTAAAACCCCAGTGGAGAGCAGCTGCAAAATTCAAGTTAGTGGATGTAACGTGCTCAGTCAGCAGGGAGACAGACACCTGCCTGCTGCTGCAGTGCTCCTGTGAGCCTGGCACCCAAACAGTTCCCTCTTAGAACTCACATCTGTTTTGCCATGGAGTATTCAGACCTTGAGGTTGTGTCTAGAATTACTTGAATAGCTAGCTTAATTTGAAAGGTAATTAAGTAAATCATTGGAGAAAACAAATCCATTCCAATTTACTTTGGCCTGTAAATGTGGCTCCGGATCATTCCACTCCTGCAACTTGCAGTGATTAAGCAGTAGTTTTTCCCCATCCTGGAAGATTCTAATACTGACCCTTTGATTACATCTCTGCAGGCTTATTAAGGACAGTGACATTTTTTAGGGTAAGAATGTAATTACTGGTCTGATTTGCTTGGGAAATTTAGAAGGCTATTAGTATTTCCTCTCACTACTTTCTATGTTTGTTTCAAAGTGCAAATGTTTCCTGATAGCCAAGTTTGCCAATTATATTTAATGCAGCACATTTACAATATCTTACAGTATAATACAGTAAAAAAATTGATATTAAAAGGTGATTCTGGTTATTTTTTAGAGTGAGAACGATGCTGGCCCTGTGGAAATCAATGGCAAAGCTTTTACTAACTTCAGTGGGACCAGAATTTCAATTTGTAAATTTCTGCTTTGATGCTGAGGTGCTTAAAACATGGAGCTTCAGGGAAATGTATTACTCTGGATGTGAATTTCTGGTCCTGCAAGCCAATATCTGTAATGAGCATGTAAGGATTTCTCAGTTATGCAAACAAATTTTCACTGAAGTGATTACACCCGATTTAAAGCAGAACTTTTGTTATTCCTTTGTGTGAATGCTCAGTATGGTAGGAATAAAAATATGTAGGTTATGTTTTGCTTTTGTTGGTAATAAGTCTGTGCTGTGTTAATCATACTTGGGATGATACATTACTTTCAGGCGGCAAAAGATGGTAATGCCTGGCTTTGACATGCTTGTGTAGCAGTAGTTTGCTGTGCTGCACACACAGTTCTGGTAATAGTTTGAATTTATTCAGAGAGCCTGAGAAAGGCAGGTTCCAATTGACTGCACTTATCATGCAATCTACATCCTGTGGGCAAATCTGCTTTATGAGAAATCAGTTTCAGATGATGTTTCATAGCCAGAAATTTAAGCCTAACTTATACTTTTCTCCTGTGTTGTTTCACTTGACAATGAGTGGTTTTTACTGAACATGAAGTTTTCTACTGTTGACTTTATTTGTGGATTTCTGTGGACTGGGGTATATAATTTGGTCTTTCATTCAGATAAAAAGCTCTGATTAGACTCACATATCCTGCTGCTCCTAAAGACACTGTAGTTGGTTTATGTGTTTGAGTCCTGTGGGTTTGCAACTGCTGCAAGTTCACATGCAGATTTTTTTGAAAAATTTTACAAACTCTCCTTTCTCCTGGGGAGCCTGACCTTAGCTATTCAGAGGAAAAAAGTGACTTTATCCCAGGATCCTAGGATTTTAAGATCTTGTCCTGTATTGTATACAGATGCTGAGAATAATTGATGTTGAAAGAAGGGAGGC